TCCAGACTTTTGTGTGCAGCCAGGAGGGTAAAAATGGTCAGCAGTCATATTTGGAGACGGCCATCTAATAAACAAGCACTATGTTGATTTCTCTCTTAGCATCCACGAAGGCATTAAACAAACCTTTATTTTCTTTTTCTTTTTCTTTCTTTTTTCTTTTTAAGATTTATCTATTTATACAAGTGCTGGGTACAGTCAGAAATGTGGGAGGGTGAGAGAATCTACCAGAACCAGAGCAGGGAGCACAACAGGCAGACTGATGAAATACACTGCTGAGGGGAGCAGTGGGTGGCAGGAGAGGTCTCGCGCCATGTGGGACCCTCACCAGTGGCTGGGGATCAAACCAGCGCTGCAGAGGCTACCGGCAAACTTGCAACCCAGCACTCAACTGCTGCGCCACCAGGGAGGCCCCAAACCTTTATTTTCTTCAGGCATGTTGATAAATACAAGAGTTATCAATGCATTTGTGTTCAATGTCGCCATCACCAATAGAGTGATGTTATAAACTCCCATATTGAAAATGTGAAGCTCGATATTCAGTAGATACTTGAGATACCCCCAGACAAAGTAACTTCATTTCATTAATGTTTTTTAAATTCAATGAAGGACATATTATTCATCTCATCTTATATACACATTCAGCAAGGTAATGTTCCCAAAGTCACATATCTGACAAATAATTGAGCTGCAACCTCTCTCCTTGTCCATGTGAATCTAAAGCCCATTTTGACATTGCACTTCACTGTTGCTCCTCAGTTTCATTGGAATAACTAAGAATAATTATCTTCATGAATTTTTCTTTCAATGTATTTTTAGAATGACTCTTTTAGAATGTGTTTCAAGCACTGTGGATTTAATACTATAAAGATATTAAAGAAAATTTAAAACTTTTCTTTTCATAAAATAAATGTTAGAATTTTTTTAAGGACATGCCATTATCTAGACAGACTTTAGCTAAGCAGTGTAAGCAAAATTCATGTTTCCACATCAAAATGTATTTACTGAGAACCCAAAGTGTCTTTAGGATACTTCCAGGTATTGAGAAAATGTGAAAGTCTTATGGGATTTTGCCCTTCAGGACTCACATAGGAAGATGAAACATTACTATGAATAGGGACTTGTGCTCTAGAATACGGAAGACCTAAAGGTGCAAAAGAAATGGGAAAGCATAGTCAAAACCCAAAGCATAGTCAATAGCTAATAGAAAGAATTTGAACCAACATTTTTATTGAAAAAAAAGTTAAAAGGCAGGATATAGGGGAAGACATTTATGTAAAATTTGCTGTTGTATTTGGATAGTGCTCTGGATATTGAGGTCTGCTCCTAAGGAAGAAGAGTGAGCAGATGTAACCAGGTATTAAAAATTATCCCATTTCCAGGGAGAGAGGAGGAAATGGGGCAGAAGAGCATAATGGACTATGGTGGAGGACTTTGGGTGCTTTGGCGGTAGGAAAATTATGGGACCACACTTGTGAGGAGAAAACCTTTATTGTGAAAAAAACAAGCAAGGGTGTAATATAATGACACATCATTAATGGGAAAAAAAGTCACTGCCCAGTTCAAACTCCAGAACAACCTCCTGGATTGTTACATATTTTGGGGCCTCTCTGAACCTTCCAAATGATGACAAAGAATTTGTCATCATCGCTATATCTCGATGAAAGATTGGCAAGCACATTTGCACATTTCAAGAAGATACACAGGGGTGGGTGATTGCAGTTGTGTACGACTACTGTCACTCCTTACCCAAACTCTGACTCTCAGAAGTTCCTCTTGGCAATGGTCATGAAACCATCTTTTTCCAAATAGTTTCCAGGTGGAGTTCTGAGGATCCAAATCTCTGAGTTGAATGCTGGTAGTGGTGATTGTAGTTAATAAAAATTCAGTAATACATACTTTTTATACTGTTTTAGTAAATAATATGATATCGTTTTTGCAAGCAATGACATGAAGATAATATTGCAATTTAAAATAACTAGCAAGAAATCAAAATTGTAGAAATTAGTTTCCTCATCTGTAAAATGAAGTGGTTCGAGAAGGTGATCGTCAAGGTCCCTCTTCCTTTATTACGATGCTAGGATTCTAAGATTCTATTCTGTATATAAACAAGATCATTAATTTGAATTCACAGTATTTATTTTAAAACAGGTATTTTAACACATGCATTTTTTAAGATTTTTTTCAGGTTCCTGTATTTTGTATTATGCTATTTTCTTAGTACAATTATTGTTATGGCTGAACACTGGAATAATTTTAGTTTACCAAATGCTCTGGACTTTCTCATGATTAAATGTGGTATATAAACGTAAGATGGATTATTATTACCTGTGATTACTTTGAATGGATGAACAACTCAGCACGCATATTCTTAATCAGAATATAGACTTCACTAAATGGTTTTGACGTCTTACTTCACCCTAATGCTGTAGACATTCTGAATTAATAACTGCAATAAACATGGTCAACCTATTATATGGGTCAGTTACAAATGTAATGAATATATTGTAAAGCACATTTTAATGTTAAGACCTCAGTCCTCATCTTATTGGTATTCTCTTTCTCCTATTTCCTGGAGGGAAGGAGATTTAAAATCTACTACCTAATACATATAATCAGAAAATGCAGATATGAATTTAAATATGTTGTCCAACATTTAATTTTATGTATCTCCATAGTAATTTCATTTCATTGTTCCATAACAATAAACAAAACACACTCAGAAACCAATAAATATGATAAAATGTCCATTTCTAATACCTGTATAAAATAAGACTAAAAATTGTTGGCAAGACAGTAAATGCTTTTCACAGTCTACTCCCCCAAATGAAGCTGTGTTTTCAGCTTCATTTTATACCACGCCACATTTCTTAGTATGTTTCAACTGCAGTAGGTGTTCATTCCACACCATCATGTTCCATACCTTCATCATGTTGCATCTCTGCGTCGCCCAAATTCTTTCTTTTTGTTCCTTTGTCCTTTACTAATATTGCTGAGAATACACACACTACTGTTCATTCAACACATTAGAATTAATCATGTGAAACCTGTGTTTGAGCCAGCCACGGGTAAAGTCATAATCAGTGTTTATTAGATAATTAGTGTGGCACCTCCATCATCTGTTTAAGCTTGCAACTCTAAATGTAAAGCTGTCTTGCATTTCGTTATGAACATGATCTGTTCCATTTTTGCGTGACTGGGTGCAGTACTTTTTGAATTATCACTCTCAATGACCTATTATCACTGCCAAAGAGATTTTATCTCGAATGGAAAAAATAGTTGATGATTTAAAATTTTTAAGTACCCTATGTTGGTGAAGGTGCTTTATAAGCTGGCCTTTGTCTTATTTTGTAACTTTATCTGTGACCATTCCTCACCTTGAGATTTATGCTCGAGAAATGTCTACCTGCTATTATTTTCTCCCACACACTTTGTGTCATTACTTATGTCATTTTTAGTACCTGAAATATCTTTCTGGCCCTTCTTCAACTGGTTCATATCCTCCTCATTCATTAAAATCAGTGCACAGATAATTTCCTCTAAGCAGCCTTATCTGAAACTCTCAGATGTGCTAATTTTTAATTAAAATAATAATAGCAATTATTGACACTTCTTGGAATTGTTCTAAATGCTATACCTGTATTGTTTCATCTAATTCTATCAAAACTCCTCTGTCAGGTAGATAATACCATGATTTTCATTTTGCTGATGAAAAGGAGAGCTCATGTAACATTGCCAGGCCACATAACAAGTGGCGGGAAGAACAGCCTGTTTCCTTACTGAAACGATCTTAATCACATTGTAATGAGATTCATTTATGCATCTGTTCTGTGTACCACATTCTTTTTCAAATGAAAGGCCCACTGGTTAGAAATATAACACTGCGTGTCAGGAAAAAATGCAGGCTGAGGACATGAGTTTTAAGAGTTGTGTATTGTAGTTGCTGATGAAAACTAAACATTTGAGATTGTCTAAGTTGAGTTTTTAGGATGAAAGGTAAGAAAATTTAAGAATGGCAACTTGGAAATTTAAAGGATCATCAGAGAAGCTGAAACCAATCACAGGAAAAAAGTAAGGATGAGACACCAATTTAGGAGTGAGGAGAAATGTCACGAGTTGCAGAGAGGGAACAAAAACAGTTGGCACAGCACAAGGCTGCAGAAATGTCAGTGTTATGAGTCTTTCAAGAGTTAGCTGAATGGAAGAAAGACTCCCCCCGCTTAGTGATTGTGGCTAAATGGACCAAAAGTGGAGATAACTGATGAAACGTGCATTTTCATGAATTTTAGCAGTGAATAACATTCCAGAAGTGAGTAGTAAGTAAAATTAGGCAGGAGGGAGAGTTATGTATGTATGCTAGTATGTTTCCCAGTGGACAGGGAAGAAAACTTGCAGAAGGAACACTTGGCAATGCGAGAGGAGGGGATATTGAGGAATCAGTGATACAAGAACACAGTTGCAGAACCATCTCCTATGACAGAAAAAGATGGAAGAAACTGTTAGTTTAATAATTTCATTTAACAAAATCTCTTAGGTGCTGTTCTAAGAACTCGGGGATATGATCATATGATCAAATAATTAAAAAAAAAATTCTTTGTAAATTTTGTTTTCTAGTCTGGATTCTAGTGCAAGATGAAATTATGTAATGAATGATAAAAAGCAAAGTCATCTACTAAATGCTCATTTCTCATATAGAGAGAAAAGTGAAGGAAGCAAAAGAGAAAGGGGAATTGGAGGTGAGAACTGTAATTTTAATAAGGGTGGATGGGGCAGCCTCAGTAAGAAGATAGAATTTAAGGAAATTCTTGAAGAGGAAAAGGAGCTTGTTATTTGACTACCTAGAGCAAGAGCACTTCAGACAGTCCCAGTATCAGGTGTAAAGTTCTGTGGTTGAAAGTTCAACCAAGAACTCACCTGCTCTGTCTTGTGGAACTGAGAAGTCTTTTCTAAGCCCCTTTGTTACACGAGGTGGTCCACTGACCTGAAGGAGCCCTATTCCATGCAAAAGGCTCTTATGCTTTCCTAGTGTCCACACTGCCAGGTCTCCAGAGAACCAAAATGCTGCTTTCAGAGAGGCAGGACCCCAGCAAGTCTGAAGTCCTTGGCCGTGGAGAACCATGGCTGAGCAGCGTGTGCTGGAGGAGGCAGGAGCTGAAGAGAGTTGGGCAGTGATTAGTATGTTTTCTAAGCTGCAGCAGTCCACATCACGGAGAGTTTAGCTTTGGTTCTGATTCCCAGCTCATTCATGGACATTGTGATGGGTACCCTAGGTAGAAAAAGAGGTTTGGAAACATTGTCAAAGGACACTCTGTTACTTTCCAGATTGCGGCATAATTATGCAGGTAACTAAAGCTTGGAGCCCACTGATTATGCTGCAAAACTGACACAAAAACAGTAAAACTGTCCTGACTCTGTCTCCAATCCTACTTTAGGAATCTTTAATATAAAGCTATGTGGAGAGTCATGTGCTGAAAGGTTTGCTACAGACCGCATATTTATTCTTCAAACTCTATTGAAGAAAAGAGACCAATGTTTCCTCTCTCTCTCGAGGCAAATTGTAAAGTATCCACCCTCAGATGGTTGATCCTTTTTGCAGCAAAAGTGCCAGAATTTATATGTTCCCATCCCTCCATCTCTCTTTTGGAGGACTATTCAGGATCAGAATCTAGATGTAGCTCTGGAAGCAACTTTCAGATAAAAATGCCAGCCCCAGATAAATTAAAAAAAAAAAAAAACTCTCTTTTACAATTTTAGTCCTCTCCAAGCAAATTTGATTTCAGACAGCCGGGGCATGGTGAAAACTGGATCAGAAAAGGATTTTGTTACAAAAAATAAAGGTTCCCACATGCTGGCGCTTGGCTAAGTATGGTAGCTAGATGTTTAGTCTTGGGACAAAATATTTTCTAGAAATTTTTAAATATTTGAAAAAGATGTTTAAATTCATATCATTTTTCCTCCCAATTTTTAAAGGATGTATGTTATAATTTAATGCTGTCATCTACAGAAGAAAATATCTCCATTGCCTTTCTGTCATAGTCAACTAAATTAATTATATAGTTTTCTAAATGTCTCTTGTCTCTAAAATATAAGTTATATTGCTTTAAAACATAAATTATATAGTTTTTAAAGATTCAATTTAAGAGACAACTTGACAGGCAGTATTTCATACTTTTTAAATCATCAGGTAGCTGACTGATTGAAAATTAAAGATAATCTCACTCCATTTTTTTTATTGCGGTAACACTGGTTTACAACACAGTATAGGATTTAGGGGAATAGGTTCAGACCTCCTCAGAATGTATGTTATCGCTCCCATCACCAAAGCACCCATAGTCCTTTACCACAGACCATTGGAACCCTGTTTCTCATGTAAAAATAACCAACAAACAATGCACAGTGCATCTAAAGAATGGATATTTGACCCATTTGTGGTATGAAGTCGTTGAGTATAATGTTACCTTCCCATGTGTTGGAAAATCTGGGGGACAGCTTTTATCTAGAAGCACATTGCAATTGCAATTGGAACTTTAAGGTCCAAATTAAGGTGGTGGTGTGTTTTCAGTAACTCAGACTGATTTACCTTTTTATTCTGGATATCTGTGAATATTCTAATATTACTCCATTAAAGAAGAAAAATAACTTAAAAAGTCATTAGACAGGCCTGAGTGAGAACAGCAGCTGAACAAAGCCTGGGGGCAGTGTAGGAAAAGCTACTGAAGCAGCCTCTCCTCAAACTCAGCAGACCTGCTCTGCAAGAGGAAACCCCCAAGCAGAGCAGCAGCATGGGGGTCAGGCTTCCCAAGGAGGATGTGTAAGAACTGCCAGTGTGCCGAGGTCAGGAGATGGGCTACACCTGTGGATATTGATAAAATAAGTACATATATTTAAGGATAATGCTAATGAGTGTTCCCATTCTCAGAGAAGTGAGTTACAGATATGAAAAAGGAGTAAACTAGGATGAACTCCATGGTGTTGGGTTGGAATTGGAGGTTCTGCTATGAACTGATGGTTCTAAATATACAGGGAGAGCAAACACATAAAAAATATAGGTGTCATTTCCTATGCTGGTGCATATTCTCATATATTTCCTAACTCTACTAAATGAACGTGGGAATAGCAAAAGTCAGTGGCAGTGCATACTCTTAGTACTTAGATTTTGGTTTCTAAATATTCTTCAGTGGGGGATATAGGAATTCTTGGAGAAATGTCTGATAGGAATATATAAGGTGAGCCTAATGTCTTTGTGACAAAATAAGAAAGTGAAAAAATAATAATGATGATATGCTTCCATTGGACAATGGTGATGATTTTATACCGTAAAGTTCACATATTTGAAATGTTCAATTTCATGGCTTTTAGCACATTTTTAGAATTTGCAACCATAACCATACTAATTTAGAACTTTTCAGCACAGGAAAAGAAACTTTGAACCTATTGTCATCACTCTGTATTATCCTGCCCCTCCCACACCTCTTTGCAGTTCCCTTGGGTCTTAGGCAATCTGTCATCTCTTTTCTGTGTTGGTAGATTTTTCCATTCCATGGACAATTTGAGCATAGAAATGAATAATGATGCAGTATAGCTTACTAATTAAAATAAAAACCTATGATTCCACACTAATATAAATAGGCAAGTGAAAGAATAAATAACTTAGGAGAAAGAAAACTCTTAAATTTAGAAGAAATGATGCAACTTCATAGTCCCCTTTGGGTTTAGCTAGTATGTGGAAGTTGGATAAGGAATCTATTTACTCAAATTACCTCCTCAAAAATACTTGTCACCAAGAGAAAAACAGTGATGTTTCTCCGTGGAGAAACTAGGCAGAGCCATGTGACTCAGGTGGTCAAAATTAGCATCATCAGCGATGAGACAAATGGACATTGTGTATCACAGGTAGGATGTCAGGGAAAGAGCCCAGAACTGCTCCTGTGATGTTCCCTCAAAATGCATATCTTGAATCTAATGAGGAAATAGATGAGAAAATTTCTGGTTCCAGTATTTCTTTTTGACGTGTCTAAATGTGGATATTTAAAAATATTTCTGTCCTGCTAGGGATTCATTAGAATTTTTAAATCTTAAGAATTGGTGCTGTTCATTAATTTTGGAGAACTCTCAGTCCTTATTTTTAATTATGGCCTCTGCACTGTTTTTCAAATGTCCCTTCACTTTTCTTTCTACATCTTCTTTGAGCTATAATTTATATACAATAAAGTTCATCCATTTGAAGTGTTCAGTCGTTTTTAGCATATTTGCAGTTTACAACCATAACCACAGCTAACTTACAACTTTCCCAGCATTTGGAAGGAAACTTTCCACCTGTTAGCCACCACTGTCTATCATCTTTCTCCGATCCCCAGCTCCCCTTCAAATCCAGACATCCATTAATCTGTTTTTATTGTCTCTGTAGATTTTCCTATTCTGGACATTTCCTATAAATGGCATCATATCATATATGAACCTTTGTAAGTGACTTGTTTCAGCTACTATAATGTTTACATGATTCATCCATGATGTGGGATGTATGAATAGTACTTCATTACCATATACAATTCTATTATAGAGTTATTAAATTGTGCCTATCATTCATCTGATGACAGACATTCAGGTTGTCCTATTTGGCCATTCTGAGTAATGTGCAAATTTTGTGTGGGCACATGTTTTCATTTCTCTTGGGCAGAGACAACTAAGAGTAGAGACTAGGTTTAACAATTTTAGAAACTGCCAATCTTTTTTCCAAAGTTCTGTTCCTTTCTTGTTTTTCTTCTCCTGAAGATCTAATTCAGCAGATGAAGTCTTCACTCCATGCTCCCTTTCTGTTGACTTGTTTTCTTATTCGCCATCTCTTTAATGTGCTTTGAGGCCATCAGGATAATTCTTAAATTCTGGCATGTAGGTCACATATTCTCTCTTGAATATTGTCTAGTTTTATATCATCCTTTGAAATGCTAAATGGAATTACTGTATCTTTCAACTCCATAAGTTTCATTCATTTTCAAAATTGACTGAATATTTTTGATACTGTATTCAAATGATTGTCATTACAATATTTCATTCTAATACACTGGTTTTGTTTATACTTTGGGTATGTTAACTTCCATGTTAGTGATTTTTTTTAAACATTTTTTTAAAAGATTTATTTATTTATACAAGCACTGGTACAGTCAGAAGCGCAGGAGGGTGAGAGAATTCACCAGAGCCAGAGCGGGGAGCAGATCAGGCAGACGGACGAAGTACACTGCTGAGGGGAGCAGCGGGCAGCAGGAGAGGTCTGCGCACCATGTGGGACCCTCGCCCGGTGGCCGGGGATTGAACCAGCGTTGCAGAGGCTGCAGGCAGCTTCGCAACCCAGCGCTCAACCACTGAGCCACTGGGGAGGCCCATATTGGTGATATTTTAGATGTCTGATATTTACTCTCAAATGTTTCATAAAAAATACAAGTAAATATTAAGGAAGTGGAAGATCAAGTGATGTACAAGTAGAAAGAAATGTAAGCAATTGATGTACCTGGGTATGATTATACACGGAGTTCTTTGGGTGGTTTTTTTGGTTCCAAAAAACAAGTATATGCAAAAATTCTAAGTAATTAGAGGTACTTATTTTTGCCTCAATCCCAATATTTGATATGCTTCAGTAATCTTTTTTTGAAATGAACAAATGATTGGTGAAGTGAAAACTTGGTAGAATAAAGCAAGTTGATTCTCAACATAACTGATTCTCAAATGGCAAATACCTGAAACATGTTTTGTAATGCAATGTCACTTCAATTAAAAACATTTATTGACTTAAAATTTAATTTTGGTAAAATACACTTTACATTTTAACTGTTTACCATTTACCATCTTAACCATTTTTTATATTGTTTTTTTTTTTTTTAATTGAGGTAACCCTGGCTTAAAACACTGTATATGACTTAGCGGTATAGGTTCAAACCCTGCAGATGTGTCACCACACCCCACCCACCACCAAAGCACCAATAAACTTCCACCATAGTCCACTGGGCTCTTTCTCACTTTGCTCACCCTCAGCCCCTTCCCCAATGTGGTGCCTAAATTCTGCAGCCAGAACTCAAGAGTTTATTTTAGTTTTGTGAGAAAGAAATCAGAACACGATCCCATTTACAATTGTATTGAAAAGAATGATATAAGCCAGAAAGAAAAAGAAAAATGCCAGATGGTCTCACTCATAGCAGGAATTTAGAAAACCTAAATAAGGGACCAGGAAAAAGACTAATTATAATAAAGAAAAAAATCAAAATCAACAGACAG